GTTTTAGCTCAAACCCAGGACAACATTCCAGCGTTCCAAAGTGCTTCTTGTACTGTGGCACTCAAAACCGAACACAGTACTCAATGTGAAGCCTCACCAGTGCTGAGTACAGGGGCACACTCGCTTCCTTACTTCTCCTGGCCACACCAGCCCCGATACAGGCCAGGATGCCACTGGCCTTCTTGGCCACCTGGGCACACTGCTGGCTCATGTTCAGCTGGCTGTCCCTCAACACCCTCAGTGCCTTTTCTTCTGAGTAGCTTTCCAGACACTCTTCCCCAAGCCTGTAGCATTGCCTGCAGTTGTTGTGACCCAGGGCACTTGGTCTTGTTGAACCTCAATACAATTGGCCTTGGCCCATTGATCCCGCCTGTCCAAATCCCTCTGCGGAGCCTCCCTACCCTCCAGCAGATCAACACTCCTGTCAAACATGGTGTCATCTGCAAATTTACCAAGAGTGAACTTGACTCCCTCATCCGGATCGTTGATAAAGGCATTAAACAAGATCAGCCCCAGAACTGAACCCTATGGGACACTGCTTCTGACCAGCCACCAACTGGATTTAACTCCATTCAGCACCACACTCTGGCCTCAGCCATGCAGACGGTTTTTAACTCAGCAAAGAATACACCAAAGCCATGAGTCGTGAGCTTTTCTAGCAGAATGCTGTGGAAGACGGTGTCAAAGGCTTTACTAAAATTCAATGAGACAACAGCCACAGCCTTTTCCCTATCCACGAGGTGGGTCACCTGGTCATAGAAGGAGATCAGGTTGGTCAAGTAGGATATGCCTTTCATGAACTCATGCTAGTTGGGCCTGATACACTAGTTGTCCTGCACATATCATGTGAGTGCCCTCAAGATGAACCACCTTACTGATGTTCTCTGCACGACCTAATCACATCCTTATACTCTTCTGGCGTTGCCTGTCCTTTCTTCCAAAAGCAGTGAATTCTACTGTTTTTCCTGAACCCCAGCAAAAGCTCCCTCTTCAGCTAGGCCAGTTATCTTCCCCATCAGTTCATCTTAAAACACACGGAGGAAGCCTACTCCTGAGCCTCTAAGACTTACTTCTTGGAGAATGTCCAGCCTTCCTGGAACCCCCTTTGCCCTTCAGGACTGTCTCCCAAGAGGGTCTCTCAACTAGTGGCCCAAACAGGCCAAAGTCTGCCCTCCAGCAGTCCATGGTAGGAGTTTTGCTGATTACCCTCCTTGCTTCTCCCAGAATGAAAAACTCATGTCACGCTTGCTAAGCCCGAGACATCTTCCGACCACCACATCATCCACCAGTCCTTCTCTGGGAACAGAAAGGCAACTCCCCTGGTAGGCTCACTCACCAGCTGTGTCAGGAAATTATCTACCACACACTCCAGGAATTTCCTAGACTGATGTAGGTTGAGCCCAGTAATCCAACAACTTTGCAACATGCATCTTAAACCTTACTGCCTAGTTAGGAGGTTAGCAAAGTGAAAATACTATCAATGTTGCATTACAGGATAGTCACTATGTTGCTTACTAAAATGTCAGATGGAAATTTGTTGAGGTGTCAGATGCCTTCTCTCCTGCATAGACTACTCCAACATTCAGTAAGGTATGAAATGCGGCTCTTAAATTGCTAATGGGTAATGTGAAATCAAAACTCTAAGTAAGAATCAGAAAATGGTAATGCTTTAATAGCTCAAAAGTGCTACAAGAATGAAAAATCTTATATGCACAGTCAAGTCATAGGTACTGTAGATCTCATAATGCAAAACAAATGAAATCAGTAAAGGCATGCATGCTTCACTGTCACTTCAATATTCAAATTTAATTTCCAGAAGACATCAGGACTTCAGATTTGTCTGATAAAATATGTTCTATTGACAAGCAACCATTTCTTTTTTTACAGTATTTTGTAAGAGCGTATGGGAAAAGAATGTGTTGCTTAGAAGAATAGGTCAGCACTACAAAGTTAATGGGATTTCAGCAGAGGTTGACTCACAATGTAACGTATTCACATGAACCAGAAAATTAAGAATGAGTTTTTACAGTTTTCCAAAATAAATCTTACATATCAAGAACATTAAGGTATACTACAGCAAAACAAAATCCAGTGTTTCATACTTATTCGAGCATGTACAGCAAATTAATTCCTCAGGCTATATATGAAAAAAAATCTATGCAAGTCAATGATGTTGAATAACAACCAACAACACATTACACAAATGTATTTAGACCTTGATATGACGGTCAAATCAAACTACAGTAAGTATACTTTATCACCTATGCAGATTAATCACCTTGAGTTTGTTGTTGGTTTTTGGTTTTTTGTGGTTTTGTTTTTTTAATAACAGTCATTAAAAAAATACAATTTACAAAATACTGGCTCACATTTCTACCACCTCAATACTTTCCTCTTCTTTCCACTGTTTCTATCATCTCAGCAGTATCCCCAGTAGTTTTTTGAGTAACTACATGCTGCTCAGACGCCTTCTGTATAAGATCCATTAATAATACGCCCTCACTCAGTTCGCTGAGGTATTTCAAACCATTTACATCCGAAAGCTCCTGGTTCTGTGAAATGGTTGAAAAGGCTTTCTGAGGGCCCACAGCAGTACTGGTGGTTTCTGTTTAGCTTTTTCTGGAAACAGTACCGCTTCGGTTTCAGGGGTAGGAAATCGTACTCTATACACTTCAGGGTAAGATTTCTGAAACTAGAAAAATACATCAATTAAATGAAGAATTCACTCAAACTTGTAATATTATAAAAAATTTTAGAAAGTGCAACTTCCACCCTTGGAGCAGGAAAATTATTATTTCTCAAACGGACTTTCCATACCTCTATACATAAAATTAGATGATACTTTCTAATAAGGCTTGATTAATCACAGCATCCCTATTCCAAATGACTGCAAAGTCTGAAATTCTCAAGAGTATTTACTATTTTAAAATCTCATTATAGAGGACTACATGTCTAAAACTTGATAAAACTCTTTAAGTTAAAATTAAAGACTCTGGAAGACCTTTTTTACTTACTTGCTTGAGCTGCTTCTTCTTATCTTTCACAGATATTTCTTTATTCATTGCAATTTCTTCCAACAAAGCTGCCAGTGGTTCTTGAGAACCAGTTGGCATTTGGTATTCAAATTCATCTGTACTAAGTTGGTGACAAAACGATGGTTGAGGAAAAGTTCCATCAGTATCAGCTCCAGCATATTTTACCTGAAGAAAGAGTGAAAATAGAGCAGCTATGTTTCCTGCAATAAATTTGTGAGAACTGGTTTAAACAAATTGAACACATGAAGTCAGTAAGCAGAGAAGTTATGGAATAAAGATCCTAAATTGTACTTCATATCTCCTGCACTAGTTGAGTGAGTTCTAGTGAGGCCAAAAACATGAGACAAAGGAAGCCTGTTTAACTTTTGGAATAAGTTGCTTTTTGAGTAGAAATTAAAGAAGAAAAGAACCAAAAAGTAACTTAGAGCAAAACAAAATATGGTATCAGGAAACAAAAAAGAGATTTGAAAACGCTGAGCAAGTACGGATACATGTAAAAGCAAATTAGAATATTCATGGAAACACTTACTAACCATTCACAATTTTCCTAATTACCACAAATATAGCTTGCCTGTCGCATGGGGAAAAAGGTGCTGACGAACAGGAAAGCATATTTTAGAGCTCCTGTCTCTAAACCATTCAAGGTCTGCCTAGTTTCATTTAAATAATTATGGCTGAATATCAGCAGTCAAAATCAATTAGTTTTTTGTAAGCTAGCAGAGACAGAACAAAGTCTTTAAGAACTGTCAAACTTTAAAGCAGAAAGGATAAGTGTGATCTAGAAGCACAGGCATAAGAGGATTTTTTCATTAGATACCTACTTGGACTCTCTGGAGATGTACAACCTGTTCCTCTATAGAAGATTTTAAGGCAGAAGGCACACTTAAGATCTCTTGATAATTGTCCATAAGAAAAGATACTAGTTTAGCAGCAAGGAGTTCATCCAAGTCCACTTCATCCTTTGAGCAGAGAATACAACGTGAAAATGCCTGAACCATCTGAGAAAAAAAAACAAAACAAAACAACACATCAGTACTATATACTTTTCTGTTTGGGGGTGGGGAATCAGATGGTACTGAAAAAGTGCTATTTTAAAAAAAAACGGTTTTAACAGCACAATACTTACTGTACTTCCAACACATCAATATATTAAAAAACCAAAAGAATTGTGTACAGTGACATTATATGAGTGGATCAAAGATGGCTCTTTCCTCATATGTAATCTAACCTTGACTTTTAGACTGAGAACGACTGAATTCCATTTTATTATCAAGACTTCGTCAAACAGTAATTTCATATGGCTCTTCTGGTTAACCAGGACACTGATATTGCAGAGATTTGAAAAATAGCACAGGAATTTAATAGAAGTTAAGCACCAGAGGGAAAACTTAATACTGCTATTCTGAAATTATCAAACTAAATTTCAGGTCCAGCTCACTTCAGGTAGTCTCATGGTCCAGCATTCAGTTACAAGAGTTTGCTGTCTATGCATCAGCCACTTTTGACATTAAAAGCACAGAAGACAATCAAGGTTTTCTGTCGTGTACTATAGACTGTACTGCTGAATTAAAACTTATTACAAAATACTAGGAATCATAGAATCATAGAATGGCCTAGGCTGGAAGGGACCTTAGAGATCATCTAGTCCAACCTCCCTGTTATGGGCAGGGACACCACCTCTTGACTAGACCTGGCAACACATGGGGACTGTAAAGGATTCACTTCTAAAAGTAACATTTAGTTTATAACATATTTATTTTAATCAAAGATCATTTACCGTTAATTAAATTATAACCTTGGCAGTCAAAAATTTTATTATTTTAATCAAATACTATTCATAGTTAATTAAAAATTTAATTGCTATGGGACAAATTTAGATTTTTGCATGCTGCTACAGGATTTTTAGGGAGTGGCTCTACAGCCAAGTTTTCTGTTGCTCTTATTGCAAAAGACTTGAAAATTAATCAGAAGGAATACATATTTTCAGCCATTTGGAATTGCTAAGTTATGCTTAATAACTGTATAATAACACTCTGTTGCAAACATCAGTGATAACACTACAAGTAGTCCTACAGAAAAAAATTAGCAAGAGCTAGGGCTTTGTCAAAATCTGATCAAAATTACTTTCACAGATTTATGTAGGTAAGAGTTTAAAGAAAAGTACTGAAATAAATGGATGGAAGTGGTTTTTTATTGGCTGAAAACTGGTAAATATAAACATTCAGCTACATATTTCTAAAACTGAAACAGGCAATCTGCAGTGATAAAGCACACCAGAGACTTCATCTACTGGGGTTTTTTTTCTACTCAACAGTGAAATCAGTGATGATTTAACTGGGAAAGGAAGGCCTCAGATTCTGAGCAAATTTTTCATTTGTTCACAACTTTGCAAGAAATACCAATTTATTCAAATTCAGAGTAGCTTTCCACATAACTAGAATATATGAAGTATTCTTCAAACAAGCAAATTGCATTTTGTGTACACTGTCCAGTAAGAATCTTTTATATGTGCTACTCTAAATGCCTTGTCTAGATCTTCTTACTACACGTACCAAGGTTCTGGTCCTCACTGATTCAGAAAGAGGTGGCAAATCCTTGTTAAGGCTAATTCTTGCCATCATCCTCACCAACAGCTGCAGTCTTTTCCGATTTTCTGGTGGCAGCAGGAGACAAGATATCTGAAGAGCTTCTATAGCCTTGCTGTGTTTTTGCAGCAGACCTGGTTTATACAAGATCAAGAGATTGAGCAACACTTCTCAATTACATATTTTCATAACATTTAACATAATATTTCTAAGTCTGTCTCCTCAAATTCCTACTCATGCAAGACCACCTTTGCACTCCACTCCCCAAAGCCTAGGAATATGTCTCTACAGCTGGACTACTAGAACCAGGCACCTTGTTTAAGTATTTACATTTTCTTCTGATGCATTGGGACATATTAATAGTCATAACCAACAAATCTAAATACTAGCAGACGTGAAAAACTAACGTTTTGATTCATCCTTTGATCTTTTGTAACACTGAGCTCTGAATGCAACTGAGATGTATGCACAGTTGTAGCATTAAAAAAAAAGTCTAGGGCAACAATCAGAGAATCTAAAAAAATGTGCTTATGCATCAACGACAGCTATGACAATATCAACATGTCCCTCACACTCATAGAAGTTAGATCTATGACTAATTCTACTTAGAAACTCTTGAGAAAACACACTTCACCCTAAGGACACACTGCTGGCTCATAGTTACATTCGTGTCCACCAGGACTCTCGAGTCCTTCTCAGTGAAGCTAATTTCAGGTCAGTCACCTCCAGCACGCACTGGTGCATGGAGTTATTCCTCCCCAGGAGAGGACTGGGCACTTCCTTTTGTTGAACATTATGAGATTCCTGTTTGCCTATTTCTCCAGCTCATCAAGGCCCCTCTGCATGGCAGTACAACCCTCTGCTGCATCAGCTGCTCTTCCCCATTTTGTATTATCTGCATGTTTGTTCAGGGCACTATGCCCTTCTTCAGGACAGACCGTCCCATTATCCAGGTCATGAATGAAGTGCTAACCACTGCCGGCCTCATTATCAGCTCTGGGTACTCTGTACTGACTGACATCCACCTGGTACTGATCACAACACTCTGAGCCCAGCAATTCAGTCAGTTTCTGATCTACCTCACTGCTCACTTATCTAGCCTGTATTTCCTCAGTTTGCCTATAAGAATGTGATAGGAGAGTGTTGGAAAGCTTTATTACAGTCAATATGAAATGCATCTACTGCTGTCCCCCTCATCCACCATGCCAGTTAATACCATACTGTGTAAAAAGTGGGAACTATTAGTTATTAAAAAAGAGAACAGAAGTATGCAGTAGTAAATAGGGCAGCGAAAACAGACAGTGCTCCAGAAGTGGTAAACCACCATAGTTAATTTCATTTTCAAAGCAAACCTTTATCTAATTTCAAAGGAAGATCTGGCAAGCACACTAGTGCATATGTTTATAAAACACTCTGAGGAATAATCAACCTTAATGAGCTTTATAGATAAAGAATCAGTATAATCTGTGCTAAAAGCAAGTTCAGTCTTACCAAGTTAGTAAAACGTTTGACGATCTCTGACACCTTAGTCCTATTTTCTTAGCTATTCTGAAAACTAATTTCAGCCAGCGTCTAGGAACAGAAGTGGTCTAGACGGTCTTCATTTAAAAAGAGAAGTGAGGCATCTTGCTATGGTTACACAAGCCACCTATAATTTCTGCAAATACTTCTCAAGTTTTATGATGGAGCTTTTAGACATATACAGATCACAAGATGGCTGCCTCAAACGACTAAACATATAATCTGGTAAAAATTTCTTTGCTATTTTCTGAATTCTTCCACTAAACAGGAAGTTTATGCACTGAAGGAAGAAAGAAGTCCTATAGTCATCATAGAAAAGTTGTAATTCCCTGAGGGTAGCAATATGAAAAGTCAAAGACTCAAAAATTGAAATCTGAGTTTATAAATGCCTTAGGATTGGTAATTAGTTCCAATTTAGAAAGCCATACTCCATTAAAAAAAAAAAAACAACAAAAACACAGAAATGCAACTGCAGACATAGATCTGCATTTCTGTATTTTGTAAATTGCTAAGCAGTACTAGCATTGACACTTACTACAACACTAAAGAGCATGCATTACCCTCTATGTTTACCTACAGCTTTATGATGGTCTGTATGTTAGCCTCATTGTTAAGAATTAATTACATATTGAGCAGAAACCAAAACATTCTCTTCTCTTGCTGCTTAACCTTCCAGAAATCCCTTCTTCCTCCTCCTCTCCTCACCCCCAAGAATCACAGATCGAAACTCAGAAGAGAGTTTGAGTGGTTAGAGAAGATCCTGCTACCAAAACTACAGAATTGGGCATCTCTACCTTATGTTTGCTTGTTTATTTTCTTATTGCTGGTTCTAAGTAGCTTTGAGTACAAAAAAGAGAGTGTAAGCTTCAGCCCAGCTGAATTGTCTTCCTGAACTCCCTCCACTGGCTAAATAGGGACCATAGTCTTGAATTATTAAAAAGAGTGTGAAAAACACCTGGGGACCTCCTGGCCCAACATCAGCTGGAAGTCAGTAAGGATGCCTAAGTCAGGTATCCCAAATTACCAAATGCCAAGCTTTTTAGCAATTCAAGTACCTGTGTTAGGTGTCTGGAGGAAACTGTTTAGGCAAGACTTCCAGAGAAACGTGACATTTCCAACATATGCTGCCAGTATTTCAAATTGTATAACTAGCTCTTGAAAGCCTGCCTTGTCACAATTTTTTTTTGTGTAAATATGTTTTTATTAGCAAGGAAGGATTCCATATTAAGACTTATTTTTTTTGTGACAGGGAACAAAAAATTTAGGGGGGGACTTTTTCAAACAGTGAATGATTTCCTTTCATTTCCACATAAACATCAACATGACTTCTTTCTTCTTATTTTTACACTTATAAAATAACATGAAATAAAACTCTTAAAACCTGAAAGACGTGAAATACAATGGAAAAGCAAGCAGAGTATGAAAGAAGAGGAAGAATTTTTTAAAATATTATCAAGAATATCTGCTGTCCAATAAAACTAGATTCAGTTTGAAGTAAGATTGTCAACCAACAAAGTATAAAAATATTAAATTCCAGAAACGTGTTAATCTGCATACCTTTTTCCATTACAACGCGTTACTAAAAGCAATGTTGTTCCCACTTGAAGGAGCTCAGAAAAGTGACATGCTAAAAAGCATGCTTACTTTCCAATTCAGTTGTTCTTTTCTGAGATGTAATCATAAAATGTAATCAATTTTTTTCTTTTTTACTATCTTTCAGTAGGCCATCTGTAGGTACCAGATAAGTGAATTTGACACAGTGTGAAGTGTTAAAAAATTACAGTTAATAACTAAACTACTTTTTTTTAAAGCACTATATTAGTTAATGTCTATTCCAAGTTTAAGCAATGAAGGATTTCGATTTCCATCAGATGTCGTATTCCTAGGGTTAAAAACAGTCCTTACGGACCTAATCCTCTTTAATCTAGACTTCAGTCAAGCAATTTCTAAAAGCTTATGAGAGTTTTTAAGATGCTTAGGCATTTGTAAAAAAACCAAAAAAAAATTTCTTTAAATCCATCTGTTAGGTGTGGCAGTGTTAAGCAATGAACAGAAGCCTTTAAAAACTATGAAGGCAAGAAATGGAAGTCTTGAACTAATGTGATCAAAAAGATAGAAGAAAAAAATCATCTTCTGATATGAAACAGAACTAAAAATTAAACATTCTCTATATAAAACGGACAGGACATGTCCTAAAGAAATGAGCTGTTTTACTATTAGATTTGGGTATGGTAAATTAACTCCAGGAAGTTAATTCAAAAGAATATTTTTTTTTCACTTCATCCAAAACAACTTACCTAACACACATACAAAAACATCAAAAAAATGAAATGTGAGAAGAGGTTCTTTCATCTGGCCAAAGTAGTCTACTATAGTTTTGAAGACATCTCTTTCAAATCCTGAGTATGTAGGCTGCTTCAAATCTGAGTAGCTGGGCCCTGCAAAGAAGAGAAGAGAAGAGAAGAGAAGAAAAAAAAAGAAAAAAAAAAAGGAGAAAACTAATTTGCAGTCATCAACATCAAATAGAAAAAAAAATAACCCAAAACTTAGAGTCAAAGTATAAATGAAATTCTATTGATCTATTGAATTGGTCTATTTCCATTAGGTCTAGCAAAAACACATAGAAGAGGAAAAATATTAATAGAATAGTTAAACATTTATATATTCCACTGAAATAAGCTGCACTGGCAGGAGAATATATGCTGGATCAACATTTCCAAATTTAAGACAATGATCAGAAAAAATATTGAATGTGAATATACATGGGATTTGATAAAGCGGAAAAGGCATAGTCCATTCAATTGATTTTTACAGGGATGGGTTGTTTGGGTCTTCTCCACTCCTGAATTTACTTACAATTTGCTAGACATTTCATTGCTGATAATATCCAATGAGGTAGTTCCTCTGCACAGGGGAAAAACAGAGACAGAAATTAAAAGAATTAAAACCAAACCAAACCAAAACACACCAAGAAAAATGTTAAACTGTAACATAAAAGTGAAACTGAAAATTCTTGAAGAAGTTCCTCCTATATGGTAGATCAACTGATTGCAAAGGAAGGTTATATGTTAATGTAGGATCAAGGTTGAATTACATTCATACTTTAGCACCTCCAGTACTCAATACCAACCAGTTATGCCTACTACTCTTACAACTCAAACAGCAAAATGGATCATGTCACAAATCTTTAACTCATCCTGCAAAAGTCAGCAATGCTAGTTCACGCTACACCTTCACGAGTGCAGTACAGCGAAGTGAATTCGCACTGAAGATGAAAAGCACTCATACATTCAGTACTGCCATTTCTGCAGGGAGGTGCTCCATTTGTCTTAAAATGAACAGATATATGCTCTAGAGGACATTTTAGTCACAAACCAAACCAGGTTCCAATCTTGTATTTCCCATCTCTACAATTCTTATGGAAACATGGCAGCCGTGATATTGTTAGTGACAGATACTTTGTTTTCTCACTGATGTAAAGCAGTTTAAACTCGCCACTAGTATCAAAACACACTGACTGAACACTCAAAACTGAAAAATTTTAAGCATCTCTCAGTGCACATTTTAATTCTTTCCCAATTTCTAATACGCATACAAACACTCCAGTTCAGGCAGTTAAAGGCTGGACTGACAAAACCATCTTGAAGTAAATAATATCACCATAAATGAGAAGTTGCTGCTCTTTCACCTTCATCTTTCAACCCTGCTATAGCCGGAATATGTTTAAGAGTGTAAATATGGAACAAACACTGATTCTTACTGTTGGGATGTCAGAGGACAACAATGGGATACTCTGCAAAAATTGTAGTACAGATGCAATCATTCAACTATAAAGATGCTACAGGTTAGTATAGATTAGAAGTCATGCCTTTTCTATAACATTAAACCACAATATAAAAAAGTTAAAACTTCTAAAATACTCACTTGATTTGTCTTCTAAAGTGACAATGCCTTGCTTATTGACATTGTATGCATTTTGGACTACATGCTTTGAATTCACAAGTTTTATATCTAACACTTCATCCAGAGAATCCAAACCCAAGACCTTTTGTAATCTGTAAAAATATATAAACACATTGTTCATACATCATCTAACAAGAATAAAAGGCAAATATTATCCTAACACTAATTAGGATAGAAACAATTCTGAAAGAGAGACCTCTCCACTTCACAGAACCATAGAATATCTCAAGTTGGAAGACACTCATAGGGAACATTGAGTCCAACTGACGCCTTCTCACAGGAATACCTCAAACTAAGCCATGTGACCAAGAGCATCATCCAGATGCTCCTTGAACTCTGACAAGCTTGGTGTCATGACCACTTCACTGGGGAGCCTGTCCCAGCAAAAGACCACTCTCTTGGTGAAGAATCTTCTCCTAAGGCCCAATCTGAACTTCCCCTGATGCAGATTTATTCTGTGTCCTTATGTCTTGGTGCTGGTCACCAGAAAGAGATCAGCAACTCCCCCTCCACTGTCCTCCTTGAGGAAGATGCAGGCTGTAATGAAGTCACCCCTCACAGCCTTCTCTACTCCAACCTGAACAACTCTTTCTAAGTCTTACCCTCAAGACCTTTCACATCTTGGTCATCCTCCTCTGGACACACTCTAATAGCTTTATGTCCCTCTTCTGCTGAGGCACCTAAAACTGCACACAGTACTGGAGGTGAGGTTGCACCTCACTTCTTTCTTCCAAGGAGCTTTACCCCTCTCACTACTGGGTTCTTTGCCTCTGTGCAAGCTTATGCTTGCCTGCAGGCTTCTACTCAGGCTGTTGAGAGCTGCCAATTTCTTGTCTACAGTTGCAGCTCCCTTAAGATGATAAACTCCACCTCAGCCCCTCTTTTGGATGCATTCAAGAGCACAGCAGCACCCTTTTACTCCAATAGCTCTGTGAGTTGCCAGATTCAGAGCTCTTCTACCTTTAATCCTGGAAGTTGTCTGCCTTAGTAAGGAGCAGCTCAGAAGCGAGTGACAAGAAAAGCAAGGAAGAGACAACTGGGTTTTTCATCTTGAAATAGCATCATTAGAAAAGCCACGTGATTGCCATTGAGTAGCCAGTAAAGACATAGCCCACACTCTAAAGCATTCAAGTCTCAGTAGACTTGGATGATCTCCTGCAGTGAGTTTATGTGGCAGGTGCTGGCACATGCACTATTGAGTATGTTTGCACTGAGGTTTTGCTTGACACACCACAGGACACAGTTATTCCTCTAGGCTGCCAGGGCACCCTGAGGAGTCAGATTCAACTTGGCATCAATCCAGACTCTCCAGCTCTCTTTCTACAAAGCTGCTCTCCAGCCCCTTGTCCCCCAATTCATACATGTAACAAGGGTTAGCCCATTCCAGGTGCAGAATTCAGCACTTGCTCTTGTTAAATTTCATATGATTGGTGACTGCCCAACTCTCTAGTTATCCAGGTCTCTTTGTAAGGCCTCTAGCCTTGAGGGAGCTCATGGCTACTTCTAGTTTAGTATCATCAGCAAACATAGTTAATGTACATTTAACTCCTGTGTCCAGATAATTTATAAAAACATTAAAGAGCTCTGGTCCTAAAATTGGGTCCTGAGGAACCCCACTGGTGACTGGCCTACAGCCTGATGCAACCTCAGTTACTATAACCTTTTGAGTCTGACCCATCAGCAAATTGCTCCCCCAGTGTATTATGGACTTGTCTAGCTGTGTGCTGGACAGTTTATCCACAAGGATATTTCAAGGGACACTATCAAAAGTTTTGCTAAAATCCAAACCTATTACACCTACTGGCTTCCTCCCTTGGTCAAGGGTGACCTTGTCATAAAAGGAAATTAAGCTGGCTAAAGAAGACTTTCTCCTCATGAACCCATGCTGGCTGTGACCAATCACTGCACTGTCTTTCAAGTGTTTTTCAGCAACTCTGAGGATAACTTTCTCCAAAATTATATCAGGCACTGAAGTGACAGACAGACCTGTAATTATCACGATCTTCCGTCCTACTCTTCTTGAAAACTGGGACATTTGCAAGCTTCCAGTTGACCAGGACCTCTCCAGACTCCTAAGACCATTGAAAAATAATGGAGAGAGGTCCTACAACTACATCATCCAGCTCTTTCAGTACCCTGGGATGAATCCCACTGATTCAAGATCAGCTGGGAATTAATCATGCCCCCCAGTCAGGGTCTTCCAACATAAGTCTCCAGGGATCCGAGGGCCCATCATAGGTGTTGAACAGAGATACAAAGAAGGCATTAAATGTCTCTGCTTCGTCTATATATCTATTTGTAAGATGAATGACTTCGTCAAGCAATGGACCAATGTTATCTCTGGTTCTTCTTTTCATATTAGTATATTTTTAAGAGCCCTTTTTGCTGTCCTTCATGGTGCTGACCACCTTGAACTCTAAGCAAGCTTTGGCCACATGAATTTTCCCCCTACAACTGCAGACAGCATCTCTATAGCCCTCCTGTGTTGCCTGTCCTTGCTTCCAAGATTGACACTCTCCTTTTCTGCCTAAGTTCTAAGAGAAGATCTCTACTCAGTCAAGTCAGCCTTCTGCCCCACTTGCTTAACTTCCAACACATTGGATTTGTCTGCTCCTGCACTTGTAAGAGACGACTCTTAAAAAGTGACCAGCATTCACAGACTCCAATACCTTCAAAAGCAAATTCCCAGGAGACCTGGGAGCTTGAAGGCTGCTCTTGCCATATCTAGAGTCAAAGTTTTGCTGCAAGATTTTCTCCTTTTGTCAACAATTTGAAACTCATTTAACTTTGTAGCCACTGTGACCTAGACATTCACAAATCACCACTTTGCCCAAGAGTCCCTGTCTGTTTACCAACAAACAACTTGAGGAGGGCAGCTTTCCTAGTTGGCTCCCTTAGTATCTGCACCAAAAAGTAATCTTCAACATGTTTCAGAAATGTTCTGGATCTGTTAGCTTCCATCTGATGTCTGGAAAGTTAAAATCATCCATATGAGCAAGGGCATTTGATCTAGAGATATCCCTTAATTCAGTGTAGAACGATTTACTCGTTTTGCCATCCTGTCTGAGTGGTTGATAGCAGACTCCCACAACAATATCCACTTTATTTGCTTTTCCCTTCATCCTTACATAGAAGTTCTCAACATGTTGTTGCCAACTGTAAGCACCACACAATCCAGCTTCTCCTCTGCATACAGTGCACCTCCCTCACCTCACCCGCCCTGCCTATCCCTCCTGAAGAGTCCATACCCATCCATCACACAACCCTAGTCACAGGATTCATCTCATCAGCTTTCACTTATGCTAAAGGTGTTGCAGCTCTGGGACTGGCTCCAAGCTTCTAGCTCCTGTCATTTACTCCTCATGCTGCATGCATTAGTACAAAGACATTTCAAATGCGCTCCAGTGTACTCAGTACATTCTGGAGCTTACTGAAGCTAGTGGTTTGTACATGGGGTGGGCCTTGGCCACTGTTGCTAAAAACCCTGCTCAGATCTCATCAGCTGCTCCAGTTGTAGGCTCCTAGCCAGTCTCTCTACTCTCCCAAGGTTCCCCCAGGTGAGGAAGCCCTCCTGCGCACCACATTGGAGCATGTCACTGCTGACCACTGGAGCTGTTCATCTCAGAATCAAGTTTATTACATGGAGATAATGTGCTAGGTTAGATGAAAGTCAGCATTACTAAGGCCTCAACTGTGCTGCAAACACAACTAATGCATATTCTCCTGCATAAATAGCCTAAAGAAATAGCTTTATTTTGCATAAGATATTCCTTTTGGAAATAGTAAAGAATATCTGAAATTCAAGGCCTTCTGCATTCAATTTGCAATTCCATTTCTTGTCTCATACAAAGTATTGTACTTGTCATTGAAAGGTTTCATGGTATCGCACTTCTACAAAAGTGTTTCTGTTTCATAGCAACAAGAAAAAGAGAGAAAGACCAGGGGAAAAAAGTGATTAAGCAAGACAAAGCCAACACCAAAAAAACCCCTTGTATAACACAACCGTAAGAAGTCAAAAGGTATTGAGCACAGTGAAGTTTCTTTGCAAACTTTATTTCCTGAATTTGTTAGCTTAATAACAAGCAGTATAGTCTAGCCACTATGGCCTTGATGGCAGCAATGAAAAGTGAGTGGGAGAAATTACAAGCATTTACGAGAGAGGACAAACAAGAATATTACCTATCACAAAGTTTTACACTAACAGCAAATGAATCACAAGCAGACTCACCGTGACAAAGTCATGGATTTCCATATTTCTTCTATATTTGTTTGTGTTAACTCTCTGCGGAGCACAGGTTTGCATGCCTGTACTTCCCCTATAGCTATACTGTGTCGCTTGTACCACATCTCAGAGTTCTGAAATCAGAAAAAACATTCTTCAGTAACATTCCAGTATTGTGTCCTGGATGTAAGTGACTGTTTGATTTTCATAGATGTACAGAATCTTTTCTCAATTATGTAACTTGTCCAAAGCTGAAAAGTTACGTGTATTAGAATAGCCATTAAAGTTCAGGAGTCAGTGGTCTCCAGCCCTCTCCATAATTAAAATCAGTTCAACTCACTTGTTTTCAGCCACCACTCTAAGATCAAACATCTGCTTATTGAAAAGTTATTGAAGAACTACTAGATGAGACAAAGACTGATATTCATTCTTATTCAGCATATACTGATCATAACTAAACACTCAGTTCATTAGCAAGTTCTACACATGAAGAAAGTAAAAGCGAATAACTACAGCTGAAGACACCCATCAGATCTATTCTACCATAAATAAAGGAGAGAATGAAAGAGAATACCACCCTTTACTCAACCTTTACAGCCAAGCTCAATGCCTAAAGATTGTCATCAACCTGTTGGGAGGGCACAGAACACAGTTTGTGTCAGCAGCATACTTTTCAATCATTCCCAGTTCTCTGATTTACATCACAGAGTAGAACTAAAGCACATTAAGTTTCCCTTGTGATCATAACAAAACCATAAAACACTCTCCAGTAATTCACTTAATTACTCCAAGCACAAATCACCTGTCATTCCATGACACTAGACTGTAGCTAATTTGACACAAATAGTACCCTCTGAAATTAATATCAAGTCTTCCACCTCAGTGTTTCACTACACAGACCCATGCTGATCAATCCACACATAGCCAGCAAGTGTATTTATTGATGCTGGAGCAATTTAAGGTGCCACCACTTACAGCTGCCTGTCTAATTCACCAGTTCAGAGGCAGCTACATCTACCTACGGAACAGCCAGCAGAAAGAAGCTTATTCCTTTGCCTCAGTTAATTCAACTCCACTGTACTAACCAAAACTGTTGGTGAAAGAGATTATGAGCTACGCCAGACTGTAAACTGTTTCATTAAGTCAGATGTATATAGTTAGTCTTCCTAACTCTTACTAGGCCAGAATGCTTGGATGGAAATTTAGAGCTGAGAGTTGGAGGCTGTAACATGTTAAAACTGCAGCAGATGCTTGTTCGGTAGCAAAAATACTGTATTCTCTTCGCTTGTCTTTGTCACTATCTTTTCCTTCCTCCCTCTTAATCTTCTATTTACTATTGATGTTCTAAGCATCATGCCTTCTCCTCTTCAGAAGTCTGCTATACATGAAAAGTGCACTCAACCTGCATGACTAATGTAATTACAAATACAGAATAATCATTCATTCAGGATCTCTAGATGTCCAGCAAAATGGTAGGGGCTACTTTTTGAAAGAGACTGTTGATCACTAAGAAGTCCAAGGGCAACATCCTCACTGATGCACGTTAAGAAAAAGGCTAAAATCATCACGGAAGCTTTAATAGTTCACAAAATATGAGAACACTCATATAAAAGATACACTGTTTAAAATATATGTAACTCCAGAACACTAGGCATTTAAGATGTCCAGATGGCAAGAGTTACCACAATATTGGTTAATAAAAACAGGAGTTTTTTTCAACAACTTTTCAAAGTCTGGATCATTCCAGGTAAGTATGGGGCAGAAGGATTCTCCAGGCTCACAAAGGGTAACAACGAAGCCAGGACCACTTTTCCTTAGCTACAACATATTCCTTATCAAAAAGGAAATCAACCCTCAAACAAGTTCATAACAGCTAGGCAGGGAGTTATACCATATATACTCTGCTACATGGTGTCTGAATAGGAGTTACAGTGAAAGTGACAGTAACCATTTTGTGGTTTTGTCTTATAATATAGTAAACGCACTATTGGAATTTGAGCAAACTGGAATGTAAACATAGATGCAGTCATGATGAATTTAGGATGGTCAAGACATAATCTGTAGCAGAAAGAACACTCAAAGCCAACAACACCAGTAAATCCTTAAGAACAACTTGATTTTACATAAGCTTAAAATAAAAGTATTTTGCATTTAATTTTATAATCAAGTATATTACGTTACAAAAAAAAGATCATTAGTTCAGTCTTGCTTTCCAAATACGCTATGTCTGAGGAAATGAAAACTGGTCATCTTACCATTGTGACTGATTTCACTGGGATGTGTTCTTGGGAAGTGCCAGCCTTTGGTTCATTCCAGTCTGGAAATTTAATTACTTCCTTTCCATATGAAGGTTTCTTTGGGTATGGCTTCAGTGGTGAGGAAGGAGGAAATCTACAATTAAATAATATTTTTAATGCCTCTGAACTCCACCTTATTCCATATTTATCAATGTAAAACTGTAGTAGGCTGTCACATGCGAAAATATAACAAATGCCTTGGACATTCACAGTGACTTAGTTGCCTAAGTACCTGTGCTGAGTGACATGTAAAATATCCCAATATGACTTGTTCAGCCTCCATGTGCTGCTCCAGAACAGCTCAGGTCCTTTGTACGCCCCACGACTTAGCTGAGCTTTGGGTGAATGCCTGAAATCCCAGTACATCGCAAATAGAACCAGCTGTCTATGCAAAGACAACTGACTTGGGTCTTCACTAGAAAATGTTGATTTTGCTGAAAAGTTGTCGTTAGATTTCCCCATGCCAAGCACGCTGCTAGCATGCATCTCCTGAAGCAAAGCTACATAACTATGTCACATGACTAAAGCTTGAATTTAATTAGCATGCATGACAATATCCACATGAAGTTTTGTCCACATTATGTCTGTTTTTCTGTGTTTACATGCTTTCTGTGTAAAGACCATTCTTTTCTGGAGCTTTTTTTCCAGCTGGCTGTGCAGAAAACTCATTCACTTTTAAAGGCCTTTCAAGAAGTGCCTTGAAGAAGTTAGCAGAAACGAACCCTAAGCTAGTCCTTGCAGAAAACAAGAAAAACAAACTATCCCAGATCACATTCAGCACACTACTTAACTAGAATTAAATTACTGCCAAAGCTAGGTCAGAGTATGCATAAAGGAATTAATGGCAGCAAATCAGAAAGACAAATCAGTTCAATGGCAACATATCATAAGACTGGCTCAGATCAGATCTTGCAGGACCTGTACTCCTAGGTATTAGATGCTGAGATACCTGATGCTTCAAGACATTGTTTCAGCCTCACTCACTCTTTTGATCAGATTTACTCTGCTTTTTAAAAGCAACCCAGATTACATGGCAGATGTTCAGCTGTTGACTGTTCTCTACTATTTTTCAGCCATTCATTACTTCTTTGAGGTTAATGTTAAAACATCTGCAGCCTTTTCTAACTTTGCCTTACAGTATTCTCAACAGCTTGCTGTTTCCCCTCCAGTTCTTCAGAACTTTTAGCTTTATGTCATTTACTGCCCTGATTCTCAACCAACCAGTAAATTAATGAATTCCTACAAGCAGAAAAAGGAGCTGAATTCCCCCTTTTCAGGTGCATGCCCAGTTGTTTTTGAAAAGTGGAAAGTCTCTGATTTCATGAACAGAAAAATGTTACCTAAAGCAAGCAACAGGTGAGCATTCCAAGGTTGACATATCAAGATTAGCATCGTATATAGCCAGAAACACTAGTTTTAGGAGTTTATACAAGGAGGAAGTAGATTACTGTTTGTGTTCAGGGCAATGGACAGAGAATAGGATCAACTAACAGTGGTATAAATGGCATAACAAGTACGACAGCTTAATTCCCAGGAGTTTACTAGCAATGCAAAAAAACCTACACCTTTTACTTTTAATACAATTGCTTATATTCCAAAAAAACTTAAAGACTGATAGCTTCTAAATATATAGCTTCTCACTTATTCCTGTAGACTACACAGAAACAGTAAGTCAGGACACACAGACAGATAGCCTTTGCTGGTTTTAGAAGCCATATTAGTTCTCACCTTCACGTTTAATACTTGCCCAATACTCTCAGGCAAATCAGCATTTGGCAACATCTTTTTTGCCTACTCTGGGGAGTGAACAAGAGCTGACAACTACACTTACATGGAAAGTTAATGAATGACAAAACTGTATACCAGTGTACAGTTATAGTAAATTAACACAAGAATTTATAGAAAAGATATAAAGCATATCAAGGTCTCCACAGCAAGCACTGTCAGTGGAATTAAAAGCAACTTGTACTGTTACGCATCAAAAAGGTGAGAAACGTATCTACAGCTTAAGTTAGAAAGGCCCACCAGAGGGAGCTGCCAGGACATTAAATACATGAATAAAAGGTGAGATGGAAAACAGATGTTTCCCTCCATAAACCGGAGAGAAGCATATTTAAATACTTGAAGCCAAACATCCAAACCACAAATAGCATATCCAGTTTATTTATGTGCCAAACCCAGTGGGGGGAAAAAATGGCTCCAATTCAAGATGTATGAAAGGTATGTAGCTTTAGTAAAAAAAATGTTTCAATTAGTAACTTATCTTCTGAATGGGAAGTGGAGAAAAACAAACATTAAGATAGCTATAAAAAAAGAGCTCTCTTGTCCAATAGCAGATCATTAGGCAGAGCCCATAGAAAATGATAAGCAGAGAAACATTTCACCCAACCAACTTCCACAGTCTACAGATTAGGAAACACAAAAGAGAAAAGAACAAAATAATTTGAATGTGTCCTGATGCCAACACAAAACAAACAAACCAAAAACCTACAAAAACAACAAGCCCAAACCAAAGAGATGGAGCATAATACCAGCTGTTACCAAAACCCATATTTAACTTTTTGACAGAATCAATGACTAGAAAGAAAGGAGATAAGTTACTTAACACCTATGGCACCAGTGGGAAGAAAAAAAAAAAAGAAAAAAAAATCAGCTGTGCCAAGTAGCACTGTCCTAAGAACAGAGTAGGAATGTACCAAACCAATAACAAATCTACTGCCATGTCCTGTAGTAACACCTAACTCCTTTCCTAACTGTGTTTAAACAAATAGACACTCCACACCACTGCTTTACATTTAACCTTCGCCAGGCCAGAGTTAAGACATAAGACCCTCTGAAACTCTTCTTGACTTCCCTGCCTGTTTTCCAATTTGAACTAGTCAATAACTACATAGAATCATAGAACGGCCTAGGCTGGAAGCGACCTTAGAGATCATTTTAATCCGGCCTCCCTGCCGCCAGGGACGCCACCTCTCGACTAGATCAGGCAACACATGAGGACCGAACGAGAATGGAACCCGTGACCTTGGGGTTGTTAGCGCCACGGTCAACTGACTGAGCTAGAAAACTATGACAATATACCAGCCATAAGCAGCTGGCCAGGTAAGAATTTAAGATCGGGAGAGGCATACACCGTACTTTCTCAGCATCCGTTCCCAGCCTTCAGTCAAGTTCAGCTCACAGATGGCAGAGCCATATACTGTTACGAGATACATAGCAGCGGACTTTCTAGGGTAAGTTTCTAAAAATATCTTAAGAAACAAGTGCTTTGATACACTGGCTGCTTTGAATTTGAGTCACAAATTCTAAAATTTATTATTTTGCTTGATTAATTTTTACATGGACTTTCCCTTTATGAGCTAACTTTGGAAAGAACATTCATTTTTCATTTCCTCCAATTGTTAGAGAAATTCTTCTGTTAAAGTTGATTGAAATTGGTTGGAATATTTTATTTATTTGGCAGGGAAGCTGTAGCATTCAGTGCTATTTCTTTCAGAAGGCAAGCTAAAAAGCAGGTACCACTTTTACTGAAAGATGTTATGCAGTATTGTAAAGAACAAGTTGAATCAGTGCTAATTTGTTACAGGAATTAAACACAAATCTGATCCAATGTAACTGTAAATCCACTGAACTGCAATGGAACAAGTTTAACACGGTTCTTCTATAACAAAGTATCTTGACCCAAGTTTGTTTATGACAAAAAACACTACATCATACACACCTCTTACTTTTAAAGCATTCCAAACTTACAAATAAATAAAATTAAGAGAATAATGAAAAACTGCACTTGGGGCACAAGTGTGCAGACTAGACAGCAAAAAAGCTGAGGTACATTTTACAGACAAATCAGTTACAATCATAGAGCAAAATGAAAATTTGACTTCGCATCAAGTGGAAATTCAATATTACACGCATTTTTCCAAAGACAACATTAAGAAATTATTACAAAAAATTTATACACAAAATTTCTTTAAGTATATAATAATAGGTATAATAAGTAGAAACACAGCATTACTGCTGACCTATTTTTGATACTGGTCTGCATGCAGATAGCTCCCATTTTCTCAAAAGACTCATCATGATACCTGCTACTGCTGGACACCTAAGTCTTAGCTGAGGCCACAGAAGTTCAGAGAACACACTCCAGTAATGCTAAGCTTTCATTACAACGAAAACTCTTTTTCTCTGTTAACAAACCACCAGTTGAGAGGCTAAGCAGGAATAAGTAGGAAAGTATCCTCAAGGATGAGTGACTAAAACTTCGTTTCTTTTAAGATAAAGTCAATTTACAACACAAGAAGTATAGAGAAAGGTATCATGAATGACTTTTAACCTCAGAAGGCTTTTCTCTTCTCTGAGAAAAAAACAGAAACAACAACCAAAGTAGTCAAGGCGTTGGGGGAGACAGAGGACAACTAGAGGTGTATGCTGAATGTCATCCTTGCTTCCGTCCATGTCTTCCTGGTATGCACTCCTCCAACACCAACAATCTTGCGTCTATCAACAGCAAACAGAGCTCCTTACCTTATGGAAGCTGCAAAAGCTTTTGTTAGTATTCACAGAACACAATCGAGTAGAAGTACCCTTCAAAAATATTTAAAATGAGAAAAGAAACCACAAAAATCCAAGCCAAATACTAGATCATGGCAGTTGCCTATTGATAAAGAAAAACATAACAACCGAACTCTAAGAGGAAAAGGAGGGAAAACACATTAACATCTTTCCAAAGACATTCTACAGAAAAATTCCTAAGAGAAATACGCAAGAGTTACTACTCCCAGTTTCCAGAAAACAAAACTTTTCAATCACAATATATAGGTTTACCTATATAAGTGGCCATCATCTTGAAAGTCCTCTTTGCCCCATCTTCCTTTAATATCTTCAATAACATGATTTTTCAGGAATTTTTTAAGCAGCTTAACTGTTTGATTGCGAGTCACTTCTGGGCCAAAGTTTTGATTAGAGGCAAGCAGTTCATGTAAACAGTCCACTGCCTCCGAGGCTTTGAAACAACGCTCGTAGCTTTTGAAGCGACACCGGTGCTTTCGTAAAGGCATCCCAGCACGAAAAAGTTCTATTATCTCGTTCCACTAGGGAAAAGGAACAAAACAAACCGTTGAAGAAGCACTTCTCCTGGAAGCATTTCAGTCGTGCAAAGAGAGATGAGAGTGCAACCAGATCTGAACACACAACTACGTGCTTTTTTGATCATCTGCGTTTACAAGGCACACAGAAACCTAAACGCACGATTTAAACAGTTGAGGTCTGAGAACAAATAGCAGGTGTAGGAAGCTGAAAGATCTGGAGCCCCGTACTACCAGCGGCCCTAGGGATACAGCTTTAGCCTCCCCTTGGCTTTTAACCTAACAAAAGGCCGAACTAAACCTCCGCCG